AAAATTTTCGTAATTTGAAGCAAAGATCGTAATTTTTCTTTTTGAATGCTTAAGTATTCCAACATGCTACCAATTAAACATGGAACAATTTCAAAATAATGCTAATTAATAAAGTTGAAATTCGATCTTCAACTGTTAATATCTTTCTTTAAAAAAAATTTCAATATTTTCTCGTACTCTCCAAGTGAGCATCTATCACCCCTTAAAAGGAATGACGCCAATTTTGAATCACCCTGTATATTACTATTATTATTACTACTATTATAAAAAACTGTTTATTAGAACATTTACCATTCAACCAAAATTATTTATACGCTTCCCATTAATATATTTTAACCATCATTTTGATCAAGTTTCGGGCGGAATCCCGCCCCTGAAAGCCTCAATCACGAATGGTTGAGCAAAAAAGATTTTTTTAAATTTGGAAAATAACGCGAAATTAACATGGTTTGGCCATGAACACAAGCAACGTTTTAACGTACTCTCCGCCAATGGCAAAGTAATACTAAACTTACCGAACGCTACATTGTACCACCTGAAAAGAAGGAAAAATCTGGAGAATTACATAAACTTAGTCTAAAACCCAGTTATTTGGTTGGAAAGATAAAAAAATAGAGAACTGAATAAAACTTTAATTGTTCTCGAAAAGCTAAACTCAGTTCAAGTTAAGGGTTTATAGATTATTTATTCTTCTTATCTGCTTTCTGCAAACTGGCGCCCCATCCTCCATTGTCCATCCATTAATGCTCAAAAAGCCCAAACTACACTTGAACACCCAATGAATATCCAGACTTAGTTGAAAATAAATATGGAGTACACTCAGCAAGTAACAATACTTGCCTTAATGGCACTAAATTGGTACATTTATCCCGTTGATGAACAAAGAACCGACTACCAATTTCGTCCGTTGCCCATAATAAACTGAACTAACTGTTCAGCTTGACGAAAAAACTCCGTACCGAGGTACACAACTTACATAATGATAAAATCGTGTGCTTGTTGGCCCTTCGTATGACTCATTGCTTTGTTTTGCTGTTCGATTTCAGTTTTTTTTATTGTTGACCATTAGACCAGTAGAAATTTCCAGTTCACGATCCAATCGGTTTGGATGTTTGGCGTAAACAAAGTAGCTTTCTCAGTCAAACAAACCCAACAAACATGGCCGTTTATGCGGCACTTTTTGAATGCACAATTAAATACTGGCTCGCCGATCAATCTTTTGCTGAATATTCAATGAAACTTGAAAATCTTTTTGGCTTGATCTGTTGTGAAAGGCTGCAGATTTTTTAGCAGGTCTACAAAAACCAAAGTAAAGCGTTCAGAAGCCAAGTCATGATTTGTGAATGCTTCACTTTGATTGCTCCAGTAAGAGCGACGGAACTTGGTTTTCACACGAGCTCTCAGATCAGACTTTTGCGCCATTTTTATGAAACTTTGAGCTCGTGCAGCTTGATATGTTGTGCAAAAGCCGGCAGATTCAGAGGGCAAATTCAGATTCAACTCAGATCAGGATTTATGCACGTTTTCCTCTACTCGCATCATTGAAAGCAACGGAATAATTAACTTGATTTTCATACGAGCTCTTGCATCAAAATTTTGCTAGATTTTGTGACCCTCTGGGCACGACACTGATGTTCAAATGAATGAAGTTCAAAACTGAACAATTCGCAGGTTTCATAATGATGTCTTTTACTCAACTACGTTCTCGCTTTGAAAAATTCGCATTTCCCGAATTAAAGCAATCAACAAGTTGAAATTTTCGCGATCTTTAGAAGACAGTTTACTCAAAAGATCTTAAAGATTTATTGCAAATCGTTAAAAATTCTGATTTTTCCAGCGTAACGAAAATCGGTCACACATTTAGTCAACCGCGCTCTGGCTTGAAGAAATTCGTTTCTCCCAAATTAAAGCAAACATCGATTTCAAATTTTCGCAATCTTTAGTAGACAGTTTAGTCTAAATATTTTAAAAGTTTAATAGAAATCGTTTAAAACTTCTAATCTTTTTTAACTTAGCGAATGTCGGTCACATACTGAAGTAGTTCAGCCGACTGCGCTCTCTCTTGAAAAAATTGGTTTCTCCTAAATTCAAATAAACAATTAGTTAAAATTTTCACGATCTTCAGAAGGCAGTTTACTCTAAAGATCTTAAGAGTTTCATAATAATCTTTTGAAAATCAAATTTTTTTCAAGTAGAATTAATAGAATTTGTAGAATTATGGTCTCATAATTGACGCTCCTTTAAAAAATAGTCTCACTCAAACTAAAGTAGACAGGAATTTGAACTTTTCACAATATTTAGAAGATAAATGACTCTGCATATGTTGAAAGTTTAAAAAAAATATTTGGGTAAGCAATTTTTTTTCCAGCTTAGGAAATATCGGTCTGATAATGGACTATTACTTAACTGCGCTATCGCTTTAAAAATTTTACATCTCCCAAATTAATGCAAGTAACAAGTTATCTACTACAATCTTTAGAAGACAGTTTACTCTAAAGGTCGTAAAAGTTTAATAGAAATCGTTGAATAGTCTGATGTTTTTCAGCTTAGCGAAAGTCGGTCTCATAATGGACTCATTCAGCCAACTGCGCTCTCTTCTTGAAAAACCGTCTGACTCAAACTAACGCAGACAGAAAATTTTAAATTTCACCATATTTAGGTGACAATTCCGAGACATATTCGAAATATCTTGAGTTTCATAAAATTTGTTGAAAAATCTATTTTCCAGCTTATCAAATGCTGATTTCTAAAGGACTCTTCTATCCAAATGCGCTCTCGCGTTAAAATAATCGCATCTCCCAAATTAAAGAAAACAACTAGTTGAATTGTTCACGACTTTTAGAAGATACTTGAATCTAGAGATGCCGCAAGTTTTAGAAAAATCGGAAGAAATCCTTATTTTTTTCAACTTTCAACAGCAAATATGAGTCCCCTAATGGTTCGTTTCGCTTATAATTAACTATGAAATCGTTCGAAGAAAATCTATTTGGTTTCGAACCGAAAACAGATAAGGAGGTAACAGCATGTACTGAAGAAACATCGAATCAAGGATGCCACCAAACGTAACGAAGCTGTTGATGAAGACTTTTTGAAAGTTCAAAATAAAACAGACAGGCAATAAAGCACATATCCTGAAAAAAATCATAAGTTACTAAAGAGAACTGCATAATAGAATTGAAAAAAGCAAATCAGCAAAATCTATTTACGCTTGTGTTAGTCGTGATAGTAGTAATAAAGTTGCCTCGTGTACAACTGTTGATTATTTGTTTAGCATTCACCGCAAGATCCATATGCGACCAAGAACTTCGTGCGAACCAGCCGAAGTGAGGATCAGCTTCAGATCCAGAACAATCTGGGCGGGGCCGTGAGCACGGCCAACTCAGAAGCAGACGAAGATGTCGCTAGCTCTCTTAATACCCTGCTGGATACTCGGCCCGATTCGGCCAATAGCGATAGCGATAGGTTAGTCCTTGTTTGAACAAACACTGGTGTGAAACTGAGAAAAAAACCATTTAAACCGCGTGCTTTTAGGATCGTCTGGACCTACAACGCTCCGATATCCGAACTGCACAAGCTGGGACACACACTGTCCAATGGCAGCAGTTCCTCACATAGTAACACTTCCGCATCCAGCAGCCCGTTACATACTGGTTCTCCCAATTCTCCCACATCGGTGTCTTCCTCAGTGATGTCGAGCCAGTCTGGATCTCGGCGTGTTCCTTACGCGTTGACCAATGGGCCTCATCAACAGCAAACGTTCGATTTTAGCGTTTCAGAAGGTAATTTTCAAGTCAATCATTTCAGTTCCCTTTGAAAGCCTAATCGGCATGGGGGTTCTTCCTAGTAAGTCGCTGCACTAAGATCGAATAGTTCTACTTTAAATGCTGGGCGACACTTTTCAAGGTTCCCCTATAAAAATTGCTATTATCTATCACCCACTGGGCGATAAAGTGGTGTTGATTTAATTATGTTTTATCAATATGTATTAATTGTTGTGGAGATAATGCGCAATGGTTTCGACTATAGAATAATGAATTTGTGAGTGCTGCGGTTTGTTTGGAACTCATCAATTAAATCACGAATGATTTGAGTGAACGATGTTGGTAACCCGTCGTTTTAACAATCAGCCGTTTGAACGCAATCGCGCCTTTTTCAGTGGGTTTCCTTTGAAGACCGTTTAAAAATTTCCAGAAAATAAATGGTGTGTTTTCCAGCTATTTCCAACATATCGAGTCCGGATTACCACGATGATGACAGCGTGGACATCCGGGATTGTGTCATGGAAATCAGCGATCACAGCGACAGCGACAGCACATTGTTGGGTCCAGAGCCAGGAAAGCGACGAGGGAACCCAAGGAGTCTTGGAGAATCTTGCGCTCAAGGTGATCACAAGATTGTCATCCAGGTGCGAGGCCCACAAGAAAAACGATCGCACGGGAACGGCGAGGCAGTGGGATACTCAATCGAGCAAGTGCTCCAGGTAGTTTGCATCAAATCTTCCAAGTCGTTCCGGGAAACCGCGTGCGTTTGTTGCAGGAAAACAACGAGGACGAAAGCAGGGAGGACGAGACGAAATCGTCGCCGTTGTCGTCGGAAGACGAAAGCGACGTTGAGAGCCTGCATAGTTTCCATTACTCACCGAAAGCAGTCGACATGCCTTCGGCCATTAGATTAGCTAAGCGATTGTACAGTTTGGATGGGTTCAAGAAATCCGATGTTTCAAGGCATCTTAGTAAAAAGTACGTAAATTCTCTCAATGCCACGAAAACCTTAGCGAAGTAGTTCTTTAACTCAACCGCAGGAAGAAGTATAGAAGTCGCGTCCTCGTCATTGTTTTGTATAGGTTCCTTCGATGTTTCATTCTGAACTTGCACAAGTTCTTCGGGGTCGTCTTGATTTGTTACTGAACTCTTTCTTCAACAAACACTACTGCTTTTGCGTTAAAACCAACCAGATTTTCTTCCCTCGCTTTCTTAGCTATTTGCAGGTGTAATAAAGTGAATGTTTTTTTAATGGCTCTGTTCCTTTACGGACAATTTAGCCAGAGGTGATCTGTTCTCTTATCGAAGCTGGATCGGTTGTCTTCAAACATTGCCACATTCTTCAAAGTACATTTAAAAGCTCAACATTGGTGCAATTTTCCAAATACTTTTTAAAGCTCAAAATCTTCCGGTTCTTTCATTTCCCGAATAATTTAATTCGGCAGTAAATTTAGAGAGGTCTGAATAAAAGATTTCTTTAATTTTTGCATTTTTACGTTCCTCAGATTAGTTGGAAATTTGGTTCCGTTGTCTTTGAATTGCTGCCTTCTTCAAAATACCTTGAAGACTCAAAATTTTCCCGATCTTCCATTTTCTGAATATATCAAATTGGCGGTAAATTAACATAAAATTGAAATGAAAGAACGAGTGCTTCGAGTTTGATGCCTTCGAGTTCTCCTGGTTAATTCACATTTGGTTCTGTCGCTTTGGAAAGTTGCCGCGTTCTTTAAAAAACGCTTAAAACCTCGAAATCTTCCCGATCTTTCGTATTCTGAATCTTTTGAATCGGCAGTGAATTAAGCAAAGATGGAACGAGAGCGCTTTGGGTTATTCATTTATCGATTTGCCTGATTAATGCTCTTATGAGACCCTTATTTTTTTAATAGTCGCGCTATTCAAAATACATTTAAATGCTCAAATTCTTCTGACTCATTTTCTAAATCGGCGTTAAATTAAGAAAAATGTAAACGCGTTTTTCTACAAATACTTTTTTCTAATTAATTTGCCTCTGGTTCCGTCGAAAGTTGGCGCATTTTTTTGAATCCATCTGAAAGCTCAATATCTTCCTGGTTTTCTATTTTCTGACTTGATTAAAGTGCCCATGATTGTGATATTTTTTAAAATAGCCGCGTTCTTTAAAGTACATTTAAGAGCCTATTCACACGAGCCACTCTGCAGCGCTTCTTAGTGGCACTGCTGAAAAGCGTACGTTAACCTGAACAGACTGAAGTGGCTCGCGTGAACGTCAGCATTTGAACCAGTGTATCGCTATCAGTGGCGCTTCTTTTTGACGCGTTTCTCGGCGGTAGTCAACCACTTAACGCCCCGGAAGCGCTGCTAAATCGGTGGTCCGGCCTTGGTCGCGCGTGTGAATAGCTCCATATAAATCAATGTACCTTCAAAACGCGCTTTTCAGCAGCGCCATTGAGAAGGGCTGCAGAGTGGCCCGTGTGAAACGGCTCTTAAAGCTCAAAATCTTCCCCATCTGTTGAATTTCCAATTTTCCAAATCGGGTACGAATTAAGAAACATCTAACAGAAAGAGCGCTTTGTGTTTTGCATTTAAATACTTTCCTGATTAATGCGCTTATGATTTGGTTATTTTGTAAAATAGTCACGTGCTTCCACATGCATTTAAATTCTCAAACTCGCATTTTCTGAATCTTCTAAATCGTCGGAAATTGAGAGAGATTTGAAGGAAAGCGCGTTTTCATTCAAATTCGTTTTCCTGGTTAATTTGTCTATGGTTTTCTTGTCTTCAAAAGTTAACGCATGTTTTAAAATACTTCTAAAAGCTCAATATCTTCCCGATCTTCAATTTTCGGATTTTTTCATATCGGCGAAAAATTTAGAGAGATAGTAAAGAAAGAGCGCTTAGAAGTTTGCATTTGTTGGTTTTCTTGATTAATTCCGTTGTTTTAAAGTAGTCGCCTTTTTCAAAATATATTTTAAAGCTCAGAATTTTCTAGATCGTGCAAATTCTCAAATTTTCAAATCGGCGGTAAATAAAAGAAGTGGAAACAAAAGCGCTATAAGCTGAACGTTTCTTCGTGTTCCGGACTAATGCTCTGATGAGTCCGTTGTTTCTTGCGCGTTTTGGCCTCGTTCTTTAAAGTAGATTTAAAAGCTAAAAATCTTGCCAATCTTCTATTTTTTGAATAATTGTAATCGGCATTAAATCAAAAGATATTTGAGACAATGCGCTATTGGGTTTGCATTTTTACATCCTGCAGATTAATTTCCCTATGATTCCGTTGTCTTCGATAACTGTGGCGTTCTTCAAAATACATACATTTGAAAGCTGAAAATCTTCCCGATCTTCCATATCTTGCATTAAGATAAAGAAAGAATGCTTGCCTTTTGCATTTTTGCGATCTCCCAATTAATGCGCCTTTGTTATCTTCAAAAATTTGCAAGACTTTTCTAATAGATTGCAAAGCCCAAAATCTTCCGGCTTTTTTTAAGATTTGAACCCTGCAAATCGGTGAAAAACTGCGCACTTTGAGCACTTTTGATCAAAAAAGTGTTTTTTTCTATTAGAGGTTCTAGGTGCCCCTAACTGCTAAACTTTTGAATTTCTCTCTGCCGCATCGAAAATACTGAACGTAAACACTCGCAGCGAGTTTGTTCTCGGATTAATTCTGAAGTTGGATCCAGACCTGGCGAGCCGAGCCTGAGCCGCGGCAAGTTTGTCAAATTTGTACCGAGTATCGAGCAACCTGATGCTCGAGGGAAGCTCGGAGCGATCTATTTTCTGTCGATCTTGACGAAACATCAAAGGAATTGCCGCGGCTCAAGCTGGGCTGAGGCTCGGCTCGTCAGGCTTGAACGCACCTTAACGTTTGTACAGTTATCGATATGACCGTCATACATTGCAAGTTTTTTTTGGCCAATTTCATTCGTGAATCGCGGATCGATAGAAATCATTTTTGCTCCCAATTAATGTCTGAGACAAACTATATATGTTTTTTTGCAGCAATGACTTCAGTAGGGCTGTGGCAGAAGAATACTTAAAGTATTTCAACTTCGAAAGCGATACATTAGATTTAGCACTAAGAAAGTTCCTTAAACAATTCTCTCTGACCGGCGAGACGCAAGAGCGCGAAAGGGTTTTGGTTCATTTCTCCAAAAGATATCTGGACTGCAATCCTGGATCGTTCAATTCCCAAGGTAAATGAGCTTGATAAGCAGTTCCAGCCACTATTTCAAGGAATATCCATTCCAGACGCTGTGCACACTTTAACATGTGCCATAATGCTGCTGAATACTGACCTACACACGCAAAACGTCGGTCGCAAAATGACTTGCAACGAATTCATCGAGAATCTGACCGATCTGAACGAGGGCGAGAACTTCCCAAGGGAAATACTCAAACATCTGTACCATGCCATCAAGAATCATCCGTTAGAGTGGGCTTTGTAAGTTTCCCAAGGCAGTTTTCGTCCGCAATTAAAGATGCAATTTTCCAGAGATACTGACCAAGAGGAGGCTGGGCAGGCTTATCTTCGGAATGACATGAATCTTAGTGGTAACCCGTTTTTGGACGTGCCGAATTCATCGAATGCCGTAGAGTATAAAAAGGGCTACGTGATGCGCAAATGCTGCTACGAGTCGAACGCCAAACGAAGTGAGTATTTAGTTTTGCAACTAACATACTAACGCTCAGCAACGAGTTCATTGCTCTTGAACCTGATTGATGTAGAATGCTTTTTACCGCTATTCTACATTAGAAGATGCAAGAGTACCTTTCCACACCTTCACCCGGTGTAAAGCTTTCACTAACTTCTAACAAAATTTCCTCAGACGGTTCAGGGTATTTTTTCATTTGTTTAACCGAACGGGACACCGATCTCCGCACCGAAATGCTGTAGGCAAACTAGCGCTCTAGACTTTGCAAAGCATGTAGACATTCAATAGTCCTATTTCGAAGGCCTTTGCTGCGTTTTTCTAGCGCCCTTTCACAAGCGTAGCTGGAAGATGTTCTACTGCACGCTCAGGGATCTGGTGCTGTACCTGCACAAGGACGAGAACGGGTTTCGGAAGAACCAGATGGGCGGCGACAATCTACACAACGCCATCCGGATACACCATGCTTTGGCCACCAAGGCACAGGACTATACGAAGAAACAGTACGTGTTCCGGTTGCAGACCGCCGACCAGGCGGAGTATCTTTTTCAAACCAGGTAAGTTTTTATCTTCCAAAGATCAGGTGGAAAATAGAGTTTCGACAACGCAGTAAAAGTCGGATATTTCATTGCGATTTGTCGAAGGTTCCAAACCTCAAGAATAATTAAGTGTTTTTTAGCGCCTAAGCGGACAATAGTATTTGGAAACAGGAAAAATTCACTGCCCTCTGCGGGATGTGTGGATTTTTCCTGATTCCAAAAACTATTGTCCGCTTAGCCGCTTTAAAAAAAAACCTTTAATTTCGATATACGGATGCGAACATCTTCACCAAAGAATAATGTTTGATCAGTTACTTTGGGCTAATGTGCGGAATCCTTTTGGTGGTCGAAAAAAGCCTTCAATCGCTCACTCAAGCGGAAGGAAGGAATCTTCAACACACCAATTTAATCCAAATAAACTTTATCCAATCAAACCTCTTTTCCTGCAATAGCGACTCGAAAGAGCTGCAATCGTGGATAGACACTATCAACTTTGTGGCGGCGAGTTTTTCGGCTCCGCCCCTAGAGGCGGCTGTTGGTTCGCAGAAGAAGTTCCAGAGGCCGCTTTTGCCCTGCAGTCACACCAAGCTGCATTTGGTAACTCAACTTTCTTCATCCTCTTTCTCGGTTGTTACCTTGAAATTAATTTCAAGCGCGAGCAGCTAGAAGACCACGACGAGAGAGTAGGAAGACTGGAAGCCATGCTGGATGAGCATCGGAAATCCCCGCCGGATAAAGGGGCAAAATCGCTGGTTATACAGAACTACAAGGAGAAGGAGGTGTATTTGACTTTTGAGGTAAAATTCCCATTTTTAAAGATGGTTGGCGGCTTAAGTTGGGTTTGTTTAGGTGAAACGATATAGAACCTACTCCTACATGTTGCGATCAAGAGCGCCAGTCTCGCTGACTCCGCCCATTATAGAGACGGCGCCTGCGGTGCGATTGGCGCAAAACAGTATAGGCGAGGTGGACGAATCAGCAACGTCGCCTCAAGGCCATGTAACTGTGATGGAAACGACATGCGCCGGACTGGTGCCGCCTCCTATTCCCGAGCGGAGAGCGTCTCCGGTAACAAACAGGTACAGCTACAGACAGGCCATCTACAGCGGAAGCGGCGAACTAGATTGACGTAGTTTGGTATTTGGGTGTGGTGCTGGAGGGTTTTGGGTGTAGCTTCTTTGGCCTGGTGTGGTACTCTAATTTTTTCTTTAGATTCACACTGCGCGCCCTTTTTTTACCGTATCGCTCGCTTGCTTTCAGTTGATTTTTTTGAGGTTGACTCTTATTTTTTATTACCGCGTAGTTGGTTAATCGTGCAAACTGTTCCCGACTTTATTTATTTTTTTATTTATTATTATTCCTTTTTGCATTTATAAAGGGGCTTTGACCCAATGTGGGCAGCTCCTCTAGTGTGTCCTTTGATCCTTTTGCTAGTGAGTTCATACTCTCAAAGAACGTGCATTGTTTACGCGATTTTTTAATAAAAAATTATCGTTTTGGAAAATAAAGGCGGATCTGCTTAGTGTTTGTTCGTGTTGTTAACTTTTGTGTGAGAGCGCTAACCCGCTAGTGCTGCTCTACTGCAGGCTAAGCACTAAAACGACAATAGCTAAACAATTTACTATTCTAGTTGTGTTTTTTAACACCCTGTAAATATCAGCGGTTTGTTGAGTTTGGTACGTTAAATTAGCGCGATTTTTTTTATTCCTTTTGAATTTTGAGCGTCGCGGATGTTAATCGATGTTGGCCGGTAGTTTTAGGGGCTGTGAACAATAATTAATAACAAAACAAAAAACGCAGTCGAAAGTAATTTGGGCTCGTGAGTTTCATGTGTGAAAACTAAGACGCAAAGTGGCACTTTCGATTGGTTGAATTTTCCCTGATTGGACGGTGAAAAAGGTCCAAGGAGAAGTAACATGTATCTTATGAAAAAATGGGATATTTGTAGATATTTATTTTTCTTAACTACTTCTGGTAGAGATAGGTTTGCCCGTTCTATATCTCTTTAGGTAGCTACTTTGAGTAAATGGAGCTAGGAAATACTAGAACATATTTGGTTTAGACTGTAGATTGGAAGTGTTTCCTGATATTTCGTTCTTTCTATACAGGACAGTTCTGTTCATGGACATGAGGGAGTTTAGGGCAAAGAATTGCCATTAAAAAATTGACGCGTTTTTGCCAAGCTACTGAATGTGAAAGATCCACTTTTTGTGTGGGGGTTTCTTTGTGAGTTTTGCATTTTTTCAGACATTGCCCTCAAATTTCGCCTACGGGTTAATGTTAGCGGTACTCATGAAAAATGGTTGTGAAAATATGCAGGGTGATGTTTTTCTCGGGTCTGCGCTACCTTTTATGTGCAAAATGTTGAATTTAGATACTTTTTGTGTTTTACATTTTTTTAACATCCGCAACTGGGCTCGAGTAAGAAGGATTAATGAAGAATACTTGATGGAAAAGCATGTTTATAAGTTTTTTTTTGTGGTAAACATCAATTTTATTGCAAGTTGTTTTTATTGTGAAACATTATACGATTTCTCCTGCCCTACACGGCCACGAAAATTTGGCACATGCTCATGAAACACCCTTGTATATTTAGTCGGAAACCCCGTAGAACTAGAAATTTGACTTTCGTCCATTTGTTTGGAAACCCGGTATTGTTTCCGAAATATAAATTTTTGAAAGTTGCAAACTTACCACTTGAAGGTAAGACGTCTTGACGTTCTTGTTCCGTGCGTTTTTGTCTGCTGACGATTCTTGAATGGAGCAACAACAGGAGTTTCCAACACTGCTTCAAAGTCAAAATGTGGTAGTCCCAAGGAAAACGTTAAAAAACGGCCAATTGAAAATTTAAAAGAATCTGGGATTTTCGATGGTTTTTGTTCCGCGCCGCCACACGACATTACGTTAAAACGCCCGATAAAAACACTGAGTTTATACGGACGTTCGGAATAAACTGCGGCTTTAAGGCGGGGTTAAACAACAAAATTCCGTAAATAAGTAAATTATCCCCGCAAACTAGAAGTTTTGCTTAGTTTTTCGAAAACCGACCGTTCTAGTTATTTGCCCGCAATAAACAACCTGAAACACACTGGGCAGGAATGTTCCTGCTTATTTACGTAACAAAATCAAGTTTAGCGAGTGAAAAAGTAATTATGTAAATACTTGACGGTTTTGTGACCTTTTTTAGCGAAAATTAAAAACTCAATAAGCGCCTCTTATTAAAAATTCGGTCATGTAATCGGCTTCTATTAAAGAAATTAAATTAATTCATGTTTCAATTAATTAAATTAATTAGGATCATTCCAAAGAACGCTAAATCCGCTCATGGTATAAAATAATATACATTTATTATGTATTATTTTAACAAATAATTCCAAGGTGCTACTGTTTTTGTCAATCAAGAGCGCGGATTAGGAAACGAGTTATTAGCAAGACGCAAAAAAACAGCGGCGTTAATCGGACAACATTCGTCTTGATTTCTGTTAAAAAAAATGCATTTTAAACGTTTTTTGTCGATAAGAATGGCCAGATTTGCGTTCAAGAGCCTTCAATATAAACAACTAGTTGAATTTCCTCATAAGACCATCGCCCTGTATATTCGCCCTAAAAAACAGCAGCCAGTGTTTCCTAGCTCCCCATAAATGAATCAGTGTCTACTTTAACGACTTTTTCGAACACTAAATGTATATTATTGAGGAAATGGTTAGATCTGACCCCCAAAGTTTCCTTAGGGAATCGGCCAGTTTCTCAGGTTGGGAGCTTGCGGCATTGCACAGTTTAACGTAGTGTACACACTGAATGCTAGAATGTACATACAATACCGTAAAACAGATTTTCACATGCACACACATACACATGGATATACAGGGGACTTTGGTTGGCAGGTTTGTTGCACCCAAAGGAAATGTGTGTTGAAAAATGTGAATTTTGCATCTAGCAAGCGGACAAGAGAGGCTCAGACTGGCCAAATCCTGAACTACATGGACATCGGAGCGCATCTTTGTTACTGAGTGCAATGTTGCTGGCTCTCGATCGAACCGAATTACAATTACTTGTTATCAGCGACATATTTATTAAAATTGGCTACTGTGTCGGTTGCCTTGATTTAAGAACAATGTACCACAATGTCAAATTAGTGTTTTATAGAGAGTATATGCTACTACTACTACTACTACATAGAATATATAAGGAAAATTAACCCGTAATAAGTGTACGAACAGATGTGTAAATTATTGAACCCTTAGCTAAAGAAATCTGTGCTATATAGATACTGTAATGAGTGTAGCGGTGGCTTCGTTAAGTCGTAATTTTTTAGAGAAATCACGCCTTAACGCTTCACCACCACTCAAAACGTTTCTTTTCATTTCGAAATAAAATATTATGACATTTGTTAAGGTGTAAAATAAAATTTTAATTACATGAATCCTTTTATTTTTGTAGGTGTAGTTTTACTATTGTGCATATTACTTACTGCCCTGCCGAACGCTCTAAAACTTCCTCAAGGTTCGTCTAATTCTTTTCTATTCATTCCGTTCACCTTAATTTATTCATTGCTTGATCTACTAATCCCTTACGGTTATTTGCTTCATTCGAAAATACATTGTTTTATTTTCACTGTTCACTTTTGTTCACCACTTTAAGCTGGAAACATGTTTCCATCTTCACGGATTGCCAGCAGTAAAAAGTGCACTTTGTCCAGTTAAAACTTTGCGCTCCTTACATACATAGATATAGAACCTAGCTTGGATCCAGCCAATTTGAAACAAATGAATGTAAGTACGCAGTCTGTTTCTTAGAAAATAAGATAATGTATTGAATGAATGAAATGAAACCACCCAAGCAACTGCCGCAAGCATGGTTTGGCAACTGCTTCCGCTAACAGCATGCCTAGATTAGTCCAAATTCACTATAAAATTCTTCCCAAATACCCGAAAATGCTCGGTCAAGTTAATGATTGTTGTTGAACTTTTACATAGGAAATCAGCAGTGACAAACAAAAACACGTAGAATAGAAGCACCGATCGATGGGTCCCAATAGAAGGCACTTGAAGATATACACGAGGAGCTTATTTGAATGCGAAGCTGCGCTCAAAAGCATTTTACATGTGCGAATTAAACCGGACGATTTTGTCAATGAGATTAAAGCTTTTGGTGACTGGTTCTCTGCGCAATGTTTTCCCACCCCCTAGTTGAGTAAATTTGACTGATCCACTTGTAATCTCTTCAGATCTGATTAGAAATCTACACAAAATGCTGTCTGTATAAGGAAACCTAGCAAACTGTCCGTTATATAATGTCGTTTTGCCAAAGATCGTCGTTGTAATTAATCTAAAACTGTTATTGGTAGATCTAGTATTACTTTGCGGTTATTTTCGCTTACTTTACTTACTTTTTTTTTTAATTTCTGTACTACGGCTTTTGCTCATTTTTATATATTTATATATGTATGTACAAATTATAGCTTACGTGTACATTTTTTATTTTATTACCAATAGACGTTCAGATTTGCGATTTTAGTGTCTGATTTGTCCCTTTCAATTCACTCCCTCTGGATCCCAGTCGTATTTTACGTGTTTCTTCAAATTGCTCAGTGTCTTCATGGCTTCTTCAGGTAGCGTGAAATCCAGCTGGGAATTCTCCTCCATGTGCAACTTGCTGGCCGCCTTCGGTATCACTCCTACTCCTTGTTGTAGCGACCATTTCAGGATCACCTTAGGAAGAAATGTGGATTTTGTGCGATTATTTGAAGCCGAAAGNNNGGGGGGGGGGGGCGAATGTTGCTGCAAAGGTTGGTAAACCCAAAAATGTTTGCATTTCCCCATTTTGCAATCCATAAAATTCAAAAACCCTGTTTGCTCACTTGGCCGTTTGTTTTCCCCAGTTGCTCTGCCACCTTTCTCACTTCTGGATCGTTGAGTAAATTGCGACTTCCCGAGCCCAAAGGCATGTAGGCCTGCACGAGAATTCCATTTGCTTTGCAAAACTCCAATACATCAAAGGGGTGATAGTATGGATGCCATTCAATCTGCGGAACGTTTAGAATTCCCTCAATTTTTTTATTATTATCATTGCCTGTTAAGTACTTGATTCACTGCAGGTAAAACGCCTTCACACACAGTGGATAACTCATTCAGATGCCGCACTGTGTAGTTGGAAACGCCGATGTTCTTAACCAGCCCCTCTTTCTGAGCCTTGATCAATTGCCTCCAACTTTCAGCTCGGGTTTGGGGCTGTTTGGACGAACTGCCCCCGTAAGTTCCCGGCCAATGGATCAAGTACAGATCGATATAGTCACAATCCAGTTTCGCAAGTGACTCTTTGATTGCCTGGTAGGCTTTTGCGCCATGATCGCTTGGCACTGACGCAAATTTATTAATACTAAACACTCCTAATCGCTTTTTTTCACTTACAAAGCTTGGTAGTGATGAAAACGTCCTTTCTTTGAAGGTTGTGCTTGGGAAGCAGCTGTTTCAGGGCTCTGCCTATTTCGGACTCATTGTGGTACATTTTGGCTGTGTCTGGAAATCTTTGGGCTAGTTTTCGCGATTTTACTCTTGGCTTTGATGAACGTATTACCAAATAGTCGGTAGCCCACTGCTAAGGCCTGATCCAGGATTTTTAGAGTGTTTTCGTATCCATCTATCATGTAGGTTCCGTCTGGAATCGGGAGATTATTGCTAAACCACGTTATTCTGTTAGATGCATTGGCGTTAAAGTTTTCAGGGGCCTTTACTACGCGGGAAATAATTGAATGGTTTAATCATTGGTCATTCCACAAGAACGTTTGCACCTTTAAGAATGCATGTTTTTCTCTCAAGAAAACACTGTTGGCCATCCGGGTGCATAATTAATTGATACTTACAACCCAAAAGGGGGATCAGGTCACCAGTATGCATTTTAAAGCTCATCGTCTCCCTAATGCGCACAGCTACAGCCAGAAGGAAAAGTTAACGGATAACGTTACGTAAGAGGTTTGTTTTATCGAAAACACTGATTAGATAGCAAAAAACCAGAATAGCGCTTTATTTGTAAATATTTACTATAACCTCAATTTTGGGCATGCTTCTGTCAGCGATGTCAATAATTTGCATACGATCGCCGGCCGTTGCCAGACTTGGAATATTTTATTAGAAACTCTTAAATCTTTTACTTCAATTGGTCTAATTTGGTATTAATTTGGGCAAGTGAAATCCATTAATTATCTTGAAACTGATCCATGTGGGCAAATTTTTAATATCTAAAAAATTGTAAGTGTTGGCAGATTATATATTTAATATGGCAAATAAAGTGTTTTTCATCTGCTTAACAAATCTTGGCAAACCCGTAAGATCTACTGACTCTAATGACAGACGTCGATCATCGGTCACAATTATTTATTTGGCGGTTACAAGAAGCAAATTTCAGGAAATTTTCAGTTTTTTAACTACATGTACCATGAGTAACTTTAAGGAAAAGTGCTTCCAGTACTTTGGAACGTCGAATTTCTATGAAGTACTCGGAATAGACGAAAATGCCACTGGAAAGGAGAGTAAGTCAAAAAGCTCAGTTGCTTCAAATGAAATTCACAATTACTGATTGTTGCAGTAAAGAAGGCCTACCATAAGATGTCCCTCCTGGTACATCCCGACCGAGTGGATGAGAATCAGAAGGAAATTTGCACAGAAAAGTTCAAGGTGCTTGGCAGAATCCATTCGATTCTTCAGGATAAGGAGAAGAGGAAGGTTTACAATGACTGTGGGGACTTCGATGACGAATCATACTCCACGTTCAATTGGTCGGAATACTGGACCTCCATGTTCAAGAAAATCGAGCTGGCCGATATACAGAAATATGAGAAGGAGTATATTGGATCAGAAGCTGAAAGAAAGGACATCAAGCGGGCATACGAGTCTGGGAAAGGTACGCAATAAACAATAGCTTAACTGATCCAGCAGGTCCAAATGGTTGGAATTCCTTGGTTTTAGGCGATATGAATATTATACTGGAATTGGTGGCCTTCAGCAACTGCGACTCCGAGCCCAGAATCATAAACATTGTGAGGGAAATGGTAGGTAATGGGGAAGTAGAGGAGTTCGACTGCTTCTTCAATGAGAGCAAAGCGAAGAAATGCAGGAGACATCGCAAGTGGGCAAAGGAAGCTGAAGAAGTGTCAAAGAACTGTAAGTTACTTTTTAATCCGATGAATTGTCACTGACTGGGTGTTTAAGTTGAGGATTTGCAAAAGGAACTGGATGCAAACCGCAAGGCAAGAGCGGAATCATTCGGTAGTTTCTTCGCAGCCTTAGAGGCGAAGTACACAACCAAAGCCAGAAAGTCCATTACAGCTGGCTCGAATCAAAAATCAAAGAGATTGAGAAAAAAGTAATTTCTATATAAGTGTATTGATGTGATAAAGCTACATTAGGGCTAAAGGAAAACCTGTGTTTTCAGCAGCAAAAATGCATTAATGCTATTTTCTAGATACGTTAAATCAAAGCCAAGGCACCACAGGAGTGCTTTCGGAGCGAAATACTTTTGGTCACAGTCTGATGTTTTAGAGTTTAGACGGTTTATTACTTGGTTTTTGTAATTTCCACTTGCGTTATTAGATTTATTTTTTTTGCTTAATTCATTAAAGGGTTTTGATAATATTTTAGCAGTGTTATATTGTCTATGTCAACTATTCAAATGTCGACACTTATTGAGTCGAAGTTGAGAGAAAGGGCTACGAATGAAAGGCACTTCTTGAATTCAACATGTTTTCTGAGAAAATGTTGGCTCTAGTGTTTTGGTAATATTTTGTTACCAGTTTTTTCTGTAGAAGTGGTCAAAAATCTCGAATTAACTATTGAAAAATTTTAGAAGCAGTTAAAAATCTCGATTTACATCCACAAAGCGCATGACAGTGTTTTGCTTTTAACCCTTTCCTAAATGCGTAGTTTATTGCGAATGCCGACATGAACTCCGGCTTTTTATCGACTGTTTTAAGGTGAAGTGTCATGCGGCGTTCCGAAACAAAAACAATTCAATTAAAAACGCGTTATTTATCGAAGGGGAAACTCGTAAGCTCCGTTTTCACGTAATTTTCATCACAGGGAAAGTTCTGGAAAATGAAAAATCTGGACTAAAAGTTGGGGGTTTTTCTGACCACCTCAGGGAAATTACGAGTCTAGCGCTAAAAGTGTTGAACATATTTAGTAAATTCGCTTCTCGCAGCGGATGGGAAATAACTAGTTTTGAACGTCGAGACGTCTAAGTTCAGCTGGGTAAGTTTGCAACTTATAAACATTGGTATACAGGGTGTCCCGAAATTAGGTGGTTAAACTGAAACAGTGAAATCTGCTCTCAAAAATAACATTAATTTTTCAAATGAACATGTATTGAAAAATGCTCCCTAACGGAGCTACGCCTTCTTGACGAGGGGCCCAGTAGTAGGTTTTTTTGCAAATTATTTCTAAACGGTTGAACTTCAAAACGTAAATTTTTGGAACTATATACAGGGTTGCTCATTAGTGCGTCAAAGTGCGATATCTCAGTAAATATGAACTTTACAAGAAAATACGTCCTACGAAAGTTTTTCATGTTTAAAAGGTCCACATTTTAAAATTACTTTCTAATATACGGGGTGTATCATAAACGTGTGGTAGTTACCAACTTTGGTTTTTTAAATGGAACCGCCCCTTTTTTCATTCATTTTCAGATTTGTCGTCAAAATTTAAGTTAAGTTTGTGTCAAACGTTTTACCTGAAAAATTTACGATTTCCGAGTTATTCGTAAAAATGTGAAAGTTTTGACAGCTACTGGGTTCCACAGAAATCGAAGCTGTACACTACCCGCTGCGAATTTTGGAAAACAGTTTTCAGCGATTCTAACAGAACATCATGATCTACG